TAGCCAGCATGGTCCCTCCAGGTGTTACAGATTACAGTTTCCATCAGTCCCAGCCAGCATGGGCAATGGTAAGGGATGCTATGAATTGCAGTCGCAACACCTGGAAGCACCATGTTGGTTGCCCTTGTAAATGCTACATTCATGCCATGGAAGGTCCTTTTAGATGGATTCATCTCTCAGCTTTAGTGTCACTGTTCAAGCCCTAAGACCACATTGGCAAGGTTGATCAGATGGGTCTTTTCCATAGAAGCTGCATGCTTCTTTCACTAGAGTGCTGAATCTAATGGAAAGACCCATGCCATCAGGCTCATGCATGTGGGCTGGGCCTTTTAAATCTTGCATCATGGGACTGATGCACAGAACTTACAGAAAAGTGCTTCCCACGGTGCAGAATTTAAAGAACATGGGAATAAATCCCAAAGAATTCAGTGGGAAGTAAAGGTAAAGGGTATAGGTAAAGGACCCCTGGATGGTTAAGTCCAGTCAAAGGCAACTATGGGGTTGCTGCACTCATCTCACTTTCAGGCCAATGGAGCTGGCGTTTGTTCACAGACAGCTTTCCAGGTCATGTGGCCAGCATGACTAAACCACTTCTGGTGCAACGGGACACCGTGACGGAAACCAGAGTGCACGGAAACGCCATTTACCTTCCCGCCACAGTGGTACCTCTTTATCTACTTGCACTGGCGTGCTTTCAAACTGCTAGGTAGGCGGGAGCTGGGATAGAGCACCCCGTTGTGTGGATTCAAACTGTCAACCTTCTGATTGGCAAGCCCAAGAGGCTCAGTGGTTTAGACCACAGCGCCACCTGCATCTCAGGATTGTTTTGTAGACTTGTACATCTTGAAATATTAGAACATGGTTTGTATGGAATAAGCTTTTGTAGGCTACAGCCCACTCCTTCCAATGCATGGAACCATCGAGAACAGTGGTTCCCAAACTGTGGTCACCAGTGGTCCATAAGCTTCAGCATGTCCAGATTACATATTAATATTTCTTCAGAACTGTATCTTATTGCTTCTTTTATTGCTCAGATTATATTTTATTGTATTACAATTTGAATTCCATTGGAATGCAGACAGCAATACAATGAAATGAAATGTAAGGAATAAAAGAAGGAACAAAAAGACAATTTAAAGTCATACAGCATATAGCACAAAAATGTTGTGATTGCTACTACAAGCAGAAAACTTACTAAGTGTTCTTTTTTTAAAAAAAAATAATATTTATTGCTTTTCCAATGATTTAAACACTACAAAAGCAATACAATACAATACAATACAATACAATACAAAAACACTACATAACATTGACACATTAAACACATTAAACTAACAAAACAAAACAAAAACAGTTTAAAGTAAATCAAACAATTTCAATATCTTATCTTTCATTCACTTATTTCCACGACCTCCTCACACCTCCCTTTTTGTATTCCACTTCTGTTAATTGTTTCAGCTATTCCTTTCCATCTTCCTCTGTTTTCTATCCTATAATTATCTTAATACATTCTAGCCTTATTTTTCCTTTAATACTCTATTAATCTATTTATACTTATTTCCTTATAACATTTCTACTAAAGCCATATAATTTCGTTCCAACATTTTTCTAACTTTCATTAATTTTACAATCTTTCTGTAGACAATCTTTAAACTTTTTCCAGTCTTCTTCCACCAATTCTTCTCCCTGGTCTCGGATTCTGCCAGTCATTTCCGCCAGTTCCATATAGTCCATCAACTTCATCTGCCATTCTTCCCGGGTGGGTAAATCTTGTGTCTTCCAATACTTCGCGATGAGTATTCTTGCTGCTGTTGTTGCATACATAAAAAGAGTTCTATCCTTCTTTGGCACCAATTGGCCGACCATGCCCAGGAGAAAGGCCTCTGGTTTCTTCAGGAAGGTATATTTAAATACCTTTTTCATTTCATTATAAATCATCTCCCAGTATGTCTTAATCCTTGGGCATGTCCACCAAAGGTGAAAGAATGTACCTTCAGTCTCATTACATTTCCAACATTTATTGTCGGGCAAATGGTAAATTTTTGCAAGCTTGACTGGTGTCATGTACCACCTATAAATCATTTTCATTAAATTTTCTCTTAAGGCATTACATGCCGTGAATTTCACACCTGTGGTCCATAACTGTTCCCAGTCAGCCATCATTATATTATGTCCAACATCTTGTGCCCATTTAATCATAGCTGATTTCACCGTTTCATCCTGAGTGTTCCATTTCAACAGCAAGTTATACATTCTTGACAAATTCTTGATTTTTGGATCTAACAGTTCTGTTTCCAATTTTGATTTTTCCACCTGGAAACCAACTTTTTTGTCCAAATTGTATGCCTCCATTATTTGGTAATAATGGAGCCAATCTCGCACTTTATTTTTCAATTTTTCAAAACTCTGCAATTTTAGTCTGTCTCCATCTTGTTCCAGAATTTCCCAATATTTCGGCCATTTGGCCTCCATATTGAGTTTTTCTGTGCCTTCGCTTCCATTGGTGACAACCATCTTGGGGTTTTCTTTTCTAGCAAATCTTTATATCTTATCCAAACATTAAACAATGCTTTTCTAACAATATGATTTTTAAACGCTTTATGTACTTTTACCTTATCGTACCACAAATATGCATGCCAACCAAATGCATTATTGAAGCCTTCTAGGTCCAACACGTCAGTGTTTTCAAGAAGCAGCCATTCTCTCAGCCAACAAAAAGCAGCTGATTCATAATAAAGTTTAAGGTCTGGCAGGGCAAATCCACCTCTTTCTTTAGCATCAGTTAATATCTTAAATTTTATTCGAGGCTTCTTGCCCTGCCAAACAAATCTGGAAATATCTTTCTGCCACTTCTTGAAACAGTCCATCTTGTCCAGAATTTGCAATGTTTGAAACAGAAACAACATCCTTGGCAGCACATTCATTTTTATCACAGCAATTCGACCTAACAATGATAACTTCAAATTTGTCCATATTTCTAAGTCCTTTTTCACTTCAATCCAACATTTTTCATAATTATCCTTAAATAAATTTACATTTTTGGCAGTCATGTTAACCCCTAAATATTTCACTTTCTTAACCAGTGTTAGTCCTGTCTCCTCCTGAAACTTCTCTCTCTCATTCACAGTTAAATTTTTCTCTAAAACCTTAGTTTTCATTTTATTCAGCTTAAAACCTGCTACCTGTCCGAATTCTTGAATCAGTTCCAATACCCTTTTAGTACTGGATTCTGGCTCCTGTAAAGTCAATACTAAATCATCAGCAAATGCTTTCAGTTTGTACTGTTTAGCTCCCACTTGTATACCTTTAACCTCTTGGTCCTTTCTTATCATGTTTAACAAGACCTCAAGGACCGATATAAAAAGCAGTGGAGAAATTGGGCAGCCTTGCCGTGTCCCTTTCTCAATCTTAAACTCTTCTGTCACTACATTATTCACAATTGATTTTGCCTTTTGTTCTGAATAAATTGCACCTATACCATTTTCAAACCCTTGACCTACCCCCATCCCTGTAGATTCTTCTTCATAAAACTCCAAGAAATATTGCCTTAGTGTTGATATTCACTTGTAGTTTTTCTAGAATATTAATTATATTCCTCATGTTATCAGACAAATGTCTGCCCGGGAGAAAGCCAGCTTGGTCTTTATGGATTTCTTCCACCAACACCTTTTTTAATCTTTTAGCCAAAATATCTGCAAAAATTTTGTAACCCACATTAAGCAGCGATATGGGGCGGTAGTTCTTGAGCTCTGTCTTTTCAGTCTCTGTTTTCGGTATAAGTGTTATGTAAGCTTCTTTCCATGACTCTGGTGCCTTTCTCCCTTCCAATATTTCATTACAGACTTCCTTCAATGGTTGTATTAACCATTCTTTCAAGGATCTGTAATATCTTGAAGTCAAACCATCTGGTCCTGGAGATTTACCTAATTGCATATTCTGGATGGCCCCTTCCACCTCCTGATTCGTTATTTTGTAATTCAACATTAGCTGTTTTTCCTGAGAAATTTTGTGTAATCCATTTATTTTCAAAAATCGATCAATGTCCATTTCTTTCTGCTTCTCCTGTGTATAAAGTTGTTTAAAATACCTCTGGAAACACTTCCTGATCTCCACTGGGTTCTGTATATTCTTTCCTTCCACTTCCAAATTCGTAATAGTATTAAGTTTTTGTCTTTTTTTCATTTGCCAGGCCAACAATTTTCCACACTTATTTGCCGATTCAAATGTCTTTTGCCTCATCTGTTTAATCTTCCATTCTATTTCCTGATTCATCAGCTTCGCATATTGTATTTGATATAACTTTATCTCTTTCAGAATCTCCTGTGACTTTGGTTTTGCTCTCAGTTTCTTCTCTCCTTCCTTTATCTTTCACAGGATTTTATCCTTTTTTTCATTCTGAGTTCTCTTCTTAATTGCATTCTGTTGTATTAGGTATCCTCTCATAACCGCTTTGCTTTCGTCCCAAATTCTAAGTGTTCTGCCAATGCCATCAACACATTTGCAAGTGGCCCATGGGAGGGAATTTTTTTTGATAACCCCCGAACTAAAATGTTGGCAAGTACATGCGTATTACAGATATAATAAAAAGCAGTTGTGTGATCTGCTCATTGCTTATCAGCTAAAATCTGCATCACTACATTTTGAAATTCTCACATGTGCCAACTTTGATGGATCAAATTTGTGTAATTTATTGCATTTTAGACCAAAAACAGCTGAAGACACCGCATTGTCTCCCACTGCTCTAGCATAATGCCCAGGAGACTTCATCTCTGGTTGATTTTTGAGTCTAATACTCTTGCTAGTCATCTCCAGATCCTCTTACAGATTGATGTATGAACACCCTCTCAGTTATAACTTTCCAGTTCTTATGATATCCTCTAAGGAATACAGAGATTTCACAGATGTTTTTCATTTGCCGTCCCTTCATGACAACAATGCTTGTAACACACATACTGAGACTAAATGACTTTGGATTTTTTTCGTTTTCTCCTGATTTTCTTATCTTGCAACTAAAATGTAGCTTTTGTCCTCCGACAGATGGACTCCCAGCACTTTCTGCCAAAACTTTTAATCATAAGCATTCTTCTCTGAATGATGGGCTCTTAGCTTGTTTATGCTGGAAGGGCTGGTAGGGCATCTGGATTGGATTCAGAAGGTCCTGGGTTCAGTTCTCAGCATATCCAGGTTGGGCAGAGAAAGGACCCTAGAGAGTCACTCCCAGTCTGTGTAGACAACACTGATCTAGGTAGGCCATTGGCCTGACTCACTACAAGGCAGCTTCCTCTGTTCCTATGCAGAAAAACCAGCAAAGACTCTTATGGCGCCTTAATGACAGTGGATTGGAAGGAGACTACTCATGGGTGAAAGTTCACCCATAGGATGCTCCACTAGATGAAGGGAAGAGGTGAGTTTTACTGGTTTCCCCTTTCCCCTGTAGTGCTCTGTACACCCTCAAGCTGCTCCAATGGGTCATGGGGACTATTTGGAACAGTGTCAGAGATGGCACTGGAGACGGCAGGAAAAACTGGCAAAAATTACCTACATACACACGTTTCCCAGAGCCTCTGCTGGTTCTCAGTTCCTTCCATGAATTGAAATCTGGATCCAGCCTAATCAAATATATTATGGCATCCACTTTCATGGTCTTGAGTATGACATATCTGATGAAATAGACTCTCGCCCACAAAAGCGCATGCCATAATAAACAGGGCTCTTTGTTGTTTTTTGCCAAAGGATTCAATTAATTCTCTTGGGGAAAGCACAGATCTAAAACAATCAGCTTGAGAAAGTCAAGTCCGTAACAGAGCCATTTATTATTTGCTAAGATTCATGTCTGCTGCTTTAAGCTAGATGGTGGCATCTGCACTTAACTCTCACACCGCAGTGGACAAGGGCTTTAATGAAGGAAAATTGGGATGGCCTAAGTTTTGGAAATAACACAAATATCAGGACAAAGAACTATCCAAGATACCCTACTGTAGCCAAATTGCTTGCACTTTTTCCCACGAGTGGAGATCGCTATTGACTCTTGCTAGGTAAAGATAATGTTTTGGAAGTTTCATGGAGTTATAATGGTTGGAGTCAAATAAAGCATATTCTTTGTCAATTTGCAAGCTTGTAGCCAGGTGAATACAAAGACAGCATGACACATCTTTCTACAGAAGTGCTATACAAAGGAGACTTTTGTGATACTATACTAACACATCAAGATTCAGAGTACACCTTTCAGCCCTAGGGCCAAAAGAGTTTTATTAGCAAATTTTCAACACAGTGGAAAACACAGTCAGGCAGCAAATGTTCAAGTAACTGCAGCTTCAGTTACAGAAAATATAAACACAGGTGTGACTATAATTAATCCACAAGTATTTCTTTTTCAGCCAGGTAAATATAACAGTCCCCTGCTGACAGAGCGTTCTGGAAAACTTTCACATTTGTTATATTTTATGGACAAAGGACAAAATGTGATGGTGATGGTTGTCATTGTCATTTTAAGCTCACCCTTAAAAAAGAAAGGAAAATGGGAGAATGATGGTGGAGACAGAGGCCAAAATACATTTAACAACAGATCAAACCAAGGTACCTGGAACTCCACCAAACAGCCATTATACAAGTGGCAAGTGGGAGAGTGTACTTAACCCTTTCATTGCCTGCCCTTTCTCTCTGAATTCCCTTTATTCCCCCACACACAGACATACTTTTCTTTAAAAAACAACAACACATATATGAAACTGGCTGGAAAAGGAGCATATGATCTAGTAGGAGGAGCACCAGACAGGGCAGAACTCACAACCATACTGACACTTCTCTGCTATCTTACATTGATGATGGGTATAGAGTAATGGATAAATGAGCTTCACTTGATTACTGCAACTGCCTTAAGCAAACCATCACACATCAAGCATGCAGTCAAGTGTAATACCAGCTCATGGTATCTCAAACACTTGCATAAATGGATGGAGAATGTAGGGAGGGTCTGCAGGCCTCCATCTATATATATTCCCATCCCCAATGACATGCAGTTTCTCCTGGACCCATCTCCACTACCCATGTGTTTTGGGTCTTGAGGAAGCCTGCCCTCATAGAGCTTTATGCAGGTAGACTTCCTCATGTGAACAGTGGGTATGGAAGAAGTCACTCATCATTAGGGATGGATGCTGCAAGCTCAATGCTGCAGGGTCACTTCTACAAACAATCCAGAAGTCCACAGATAAAATGTCAGCATTAAAATCACATTAAAAGGCTTAGAATAGTTGTCATGTTATTTGCTGAGTTAAGGTCTGCAGGACCTTTAGCTAATCAGGGTTTGCCTATGTGTCATAAACTGCCCTCCCTAGAAAGGATTGGGAGGAAGGAACATATTGTTTCAGGGATGGGTTAACGAATTGGCAAGCCTAGGCCCTCACATCTGCCTAGGCCCTCATATCTTTAAGAGTCTCAAAATCAAGAAGGAAGGAAGGAAGGAAGGAAGGAAGGAAGGAAGGAAGGAAGGACGAGCAAGCTTCTGTGCAAAAAGTCAGCCAATGAATCTTCCTTAATCAATAAATGCTTTTTAGCAATATGCTTGCCAAGTGGTAGGAATCCATACAGAAATAAGGCAAAAATGGACTGTAGCTGAGTGGATAGGCGCTACCTCCTAAATGTCCTTCACCTCCGGGTTTTCATGGAGAAAACTCTGAAGCAAAAAAAAGGGTGATAGGACACAGAGCCTCAAATCATGGACGGTGCCAGGAAAGTGCAGAGGAAAGGTAAGGGCAGGGAAGTCCCCAGTGTTTGGCACATCTAGCCCAATTTGTCGCAGCAAATAAGAGTTTAGAATAGGAAATGCCAGTCTGGGGTTCATATGTAGGGCAGGATGAACCAGCCAACCAACCACTGTTCCAGCACATTGTCACAAAACATGATGTTTATGCCAGTACAGTGGTACCTCAGGTTACATACGCTTCAGGTTACACACTCCGCTAACCCAGAAATAGTGCTTCAGGTTAAGAACTTTGCTTCAGGATGAGAACAGAAATCATGCTCCGGCGGCAGAAGGAGGCCCCATTAGCTAAAGTGGTGCTTCAGGTTAAGAACAGTTTCAGGTTAAGAACGGACCTCCGGAACGAATTAAGTACTTAACCCGAGGTACCACTGCAATGGCTGCAGAAATGTCAGCTCAAATGCCGAGTATTAGATGAAAAAATGATTAACACTGCCTGTGTACTTTATAAATACAGGGCAGGAAAAAAGTCACTGTACAAGTACAAATTATTCTTATTTACTCACAACTTATATTTGTGTATAGAAAATTACAGTAGGAACCAAGATCACACCACCATGAATAAAACTGTAAGCCAAAGTTTGCCGTCGTTGATTAATACAAATATTTTCGTTATGCATATGTGAGCAGTTTTACAACATCAGTCCTCGTGTGCCACAGTGAGAATCCTTCAGCTTATTTTGATTATCCTCAGAAGGAAACACGATCCCATTACAAAATTACATTAGGCAATGTTTATCAACAAATATTTTGTTAGTGCCTTCATAAAATGGGTCAAAGCTTTATTTGGGCAGGGGACGCACAAACGCACCTGAGATTAAACCATGTTCATTTTTATGGCATGACAAGGCTTAACTGACAAATGGGTCTCAGCCCCAGGATAGTCTATTGAACTGGATCGTAATGTATCTTATCATTCTTTAATATTCATCTAGTTTTAAGAATGAAAATGGGGTGGGGGGAAGGTACTGGTACTCACCCGCAGTTCCTGCACCCACCCCGCCAAGACCATCGCAAGCACCACCAGAGAGGTGACCAGGGCACATAGTCAGAGGCAGACTACAGTGCACGGTGAATGATTACTGTCAGGTTTGGGGGAATCAGACCCCTCCCACAGTGGCAGTCCAGAATCAGAGAAATGATAAACATTCTTACCAAGCAATTAATTCAATAATTCACAGAGCACGACGAAGGAAAGCAGCCTTCCCTAATAAAGGCATTGCTCCAAGTAAAGTCCCACCCACCCCCTACGTCTCCCCTATTCGACGTCACTCCTGGATCAGTTAATCTGAGCTTTCTGCCTCTGAGCTCTCTGTTCTAATACCCTCAATGCCCACCTGGTCCTGGGAGAAGGGGGTTAAGAATGCTTTCCAAGGACACTGAGTCTGTCAGCTGTTTCTCCCCCAGTGCTGCTGCTTCTTCCTGCTGTTCCTCTTCCAATATTTTCCTGCTTCTGCCCTCTGCACCCTTCCGCAAACCACTATTCTAAATCTATACTGTCCTCCTGTTCTCGGGAAGGTTCAGGAGAAGGGGGGGAGGTGGTCCCCACCATTCCTCCGCAGTCCAGCCCCTGACAGATACTGATTTTAGACTCCTGTATCACAGACTTTAGCTGATAGAGTGTTACTTTTAATGTAAATAAGTATATATGATTTTTTTTATTTTGTCTATTGCTTCTGCCCCTTGGTGCTGATGTAGAGATATGTGTCATTATTGTATGGTGCTCTCCAGTATGGTGCTGGACCACACTGATGGGTTGATGGGAATTATAAGTCCAGCAACACGTAGAGGGCACCACATTGACTAGCAGTGCACTCCAAATGACTGCTTGTATCATGTCCAGAATATTTATACCATGGTACAGAACATCTTAAGAACAACCTGTGCTGCATATATTGGATCTCTGCAAATTAATTAGTTTTTCAAATGATTATGTCACTTATTTCATATGCTACCAGTGTTCGGGACATCTTGACAGATCCCAAATTTAGAATTGTGACCTTTTTCAACTATCTCCTGGAGGTTAATAATTAACTGGAACACCTCTTAAACCATATTAAGTATTTTTGATGGGAACAGCATGAAACAATTTCTTTGATCAAAGGGATTAACTAGTTCTTTGCCATTGCAGAAATTTCTACAGAGCCAGAAACATTTATGTGTATTTCCATGTTATTAGAAGTCATGCCACCATCTAAGTACGAAGTACTTGGATTCAAGAGCTATTTCTTTTTCCTGGTGACTTCAGCAGACCTAAAATATTTTTTACACATAGCCTATTGGTTGCTGTCTCTTCTGTAGTTGCTTCTACATCAGTCATGGTCAGCAGTTGCTTGTGTGATATGCAAAATACATTGTTAGAAATTCCACATGGTTGGTTACACCAGGGGTGAGAGACCTGTGGCGGTCCAAATGTTACTGGACTACAACTCCCAAGTTCGCATTCGTGTCTCAGCAACATCTACACTGGCTTGGTCATCTCCATAGAATGGAAGATGGTAGTATCTCCAAGGATGTGCTCTATGGGGAGCTGGCTTCAGGCACCAGGCCCAATGGCAGACCAACTCTGTGTTACAAAGATGTATGCAAACATGACATCAAGGCTGACAACATCAACCCCACTGTGTGGGAATCCCTTGCAGATGACCACAGTGCCTAGAGACAGACAGTCAGGTCATGCATAGCAGTCACCAGAGGAAGAATGGCCTCTGTAAGGAACACAGAGAGAAGCAACGCCATAGTGCATCATGTCTACAGCCACAGCAGGTGCTGTTACCTTCCAACAGCTTGACTTCACCCCCAAAGATGTGCTCCTCCATTGTCTCCCAAGACAGAAAGATGCCAACAACAACAAAAACAACTTCCATCATCCTTGATCACACTGGCTGTCCAACAACATCTGAAGGACCACAGGTTTCCCAACTTTGTTTTACACAGACCCTGTTCACAAAAAGGAACCACAGAGGTAGCACCCAGATCAGCTAGGATGCTTGAACAGTTGGAAAGCTCACTATCTTTTTACCAACTGCCTGTTTCATTCTCCCCCCCCCAAAAAAAAAGAAACAACCAGCTCCATTTCACCACCTTTGTGGATGGATTTTTAAAACATTCCTTCAGATAGAGTTTCACTGCCCTACATCAGATCCCTACAAAAGGCAGTCCCCGAAGACCCCTTTCAGAACTCAAAGATTGCTCTCCCTTCTCCGTCTGAGGTTGCTTCCAAACAGGTGTTTATTGTAGGATCCTCATGCTTGCTTCCCCACCCCCACTCTCCGCAGCATCCACATGATGTCATTGGCATCAGCCTGCAACCCTCCTCCAATTTAATCTGGGTTTATCATTTCTAAGAAGTGAAAACACAATAAAAACCGTTGGCAATGACTTGTTTGTGAAATCTCAACAACCCATTTGCAAATTTAGCCCCAGACTAGAAGGAGGAGACTCTTGAGAGTCCCATGGACTGCAAGAAGATCAAACCTCTCCATTCTTAAGGAAATCAGCCCTGAGTGCTCATTAGAAGGACAGATCGTGAAGCTGAGGCTCCAATACTTTGGCCACCTCATGAGAAGAGAAGACTCCTCGGAAAAGACCCTGATGTTGGGAAAGATGGAGGGCACAAGGAGAAGGGGACGACAGAGGACGAGATGGTTGGACAGTGTTCTCGAAGCTACCAGCATGAGTTTGACCAAACTGCAGGAGGCAGTGGAAGACAGGAGTGCCTGGTGTGCTCTGGTCCATGGGGTCATGAAGAGTCGGACACGACTGAACGACTAAACAACAACAACAAGAAGCCACAATCATAGGTACTCAGGAAGAGCCCTATGGGATCAGGCCAAAGGCCCATCTAGAACCTAATCTTGTTCTTACAGTGGCCAACCAGATGCCTAAGTGAAGTCAGATGCTGCAGCACTCTCCCTACTTGTGATTTCCAGTAATTCCATCTCTACCCCTTTGTTCCTGTATGGTCCTTTATAGGAAAAAGGTTCTCCACCCGAACAGAGAGACCTTGATTTCACCAGCTGTAGGGGGAAATATGTCCCTGACTTCCATTCAGAACATATTCAGTAAAAAACAGGTATCCTAGTTACTGTAGGCAACTAGCCACAGTTTCTCTAAGGAAAGGATGTGGCTGGCAAGTTTGACCAGTAAGATATTTAAGCCACCCTTCTGGTTCCATTAACCCTGTCCTCTCCAAACACAGACTCCATAACAGTTACTGTAAGTAGCAAACTCATAATGATAACTTTGTAACATGGGTTGGTCTTCTCCTTTAACTGGGAGGAAATCTTACCCTTTATCATTTATAAACTTTCTCTTCCCCAGCCTAAAATGTGTTGCCTAATTCAGCAAGGATTCCTTTTTTACAGCACAATCATAACGACAATCTTATAAGTCTCACTGAATTGAATTGGGATTACTCCCAGGTAGGTGGGGTTAGGATTGCAGCCGTAGTCAATTAAAAAGATGTCCACTGGTTAATCTAACTAGTCTATCAATTTAGTGCCACATCCCTGTATTTTACCTTCAACCATCCTATCATGCGAAGTTCAGCTCCTAATGAATCTAAGTTCAAACATGAATCCAGCTCAGAATCGACATAGTCTACTGGTGGCAAGGACGGCAGCAAACTGTTTCATCACCTTGAGCAACCAGCAGCATTACATATTGCTGTGACATGCTCCCATGCACGCCTGCTTTTTTCATATTCAGATACTGTATATCTGCCATTTGAAAGGCATTATTCAATTCATCATCCCGCTCTACCTCTGCAGCAGTAAAGATACTTTAGGCAAAGGGTGTCCTTTTCTGTTGCTCTATTTGTTGTAAGAACATTGCTGCATTTTCAACGCACCATGCTTTGCTTTGAGCATAAGAAAAACCCAACAGTACAAATAAGAGGAGATCAAGTGGAATGCAGCAAGATACTCAAATTCACCCAGGTGTATCGCAAGGCAGCCTTCGGGCTCCACTACCACACAAAAAAAGACTTTAAAATTCTATCATTTAAAAAGTTGTGTGGTGACGTTTAGCCTTTATATTGTTGTCCAACGTTAACTGGCAAATTACATGAGGTGAGTGGCAATGATGTCAGCGGACAGATTTACCACCAAGCTGACATCAGCCATTTTGTGTAGATGGTTGGCTTGCCCACAAACCTCTTGAATGGCAATATCATGTTTTTGACATAAGTCTCTACTGTAAATATTTGGGAATATATGGGAGCAGATGCCACACCCTCTGCTTCAAGCTTCCGTTGCACAAGCCAAGTAGTATATTATACTTTGTCCTAACTAAACATTACAAAAAGCATGACTGCTATTTGCCCCAGAGCAATATAGTGGGTACTCAGCACATCAGATGTTAAAACAGAATTCTGTAGTACAGTGGTCACCAACATTTTTGGGTCCATGGGCACATCTGTAAACCAGAGAAAATCTCATGGGCACTACAAACACCCTGAAACCAAGCACGCACAGTCTGTTGGCTACAATAAAATGCTTCTTTCAAGTTTAATTTCAGTGTGGGTTGGGAAGGGACCCTGTGGCCACCAAGGAAAATCTATGTGGACACATGTGCACCTGCATGTGCACACTGGTGACCCCTGAGGCAATGGGCAGTTTTTACTCTGCAGCTTCCTCTCACTTTCCCATATGCAAAATATTGAGGCTCTGAACCATGTAGGGCTTTGGGGGGATAATAATTTTTATTAGTTTTCAATTACAATAATCCAATAATAGCCTCATTATAACAATGCCAAATTATAACAGTTACTAATACCAATCATTCAGATGCCAAATTATATAATTTAGGTGCCCCGCCTCCCACATGATAGAATTGATGGTTTGATGATTTACTTTATTTCTGTGTTCCAAAATCTTATTAATTCCAATTACACTCCAGTCAAAATAACAATCCCTTATACAACAACTGCAATATTAACGGCTTCCATTCATATTGACACATTAAATGATTTATAAAGCTACAAGTGAAGCATTCAAACTATATCCTTGTTCTTACCGTGTGTGGCAATGATTCTGTCCGTGATGATATATCTTGCACCCCCTGGAGATTTGG